AAAGTTTTCAAACTTCTCGCCATACCTCAGCCCGAACGAACCCCCTCTGATAATTTACTCGACGCCCACGCGCGAGTATTCTACCTTCGATTCGTATGAACGAAATTACTTGAGCACGCGATTTCACCTACAATTGAAATTACTTGCTGTCAAAACTCTGGTGTGCACTACGACAACCCATTTTGAGGGGGAGAAACGGTTTCTCGTGATGAAATTTTAATAGAATAACGCCGTGTATATGTTAAATCTTGACGACTTTTCCGCGCGGCAAGTTGCACGCCGCAATTATTGTCTAACTGCGATAACGCGGCTCTGGAGATTAATCGCCAGCTCTGGCAAGTTGGTTTTCAGCAAACATATGGACGTATCTCGTCGAATTTGTTCAACTAAGAGTATCGCTCGCGATATTCAGCGGCGGGAATATATTCATTCGACGTTAGTTTAAACACAACGATGTAAGATGGAATATATCGAAACTGCTGGTAATTCTGTAACTCATAAATTATACACGCGCGAGTATATATACACACGCGGTATTATAACGGACGAAGAAATATATACTTGTGTGTGCCTACTTTGCACAAAATGTAGATTGCTATAACGACGGATCTAACCGCGGGCAAAATTATTTCCATAATTTATAACCGTAAACCGCCGGGCAGAATGGAAAGGCGGTGCTATTATGTGAAAAAGATGACGTATGCGCTTGCAAAACCCGGTTTCGTCTAGAACGCCAGCTATACGAAGTGTAATTTAAGAAATGCACAATCGCGACAATGCACTTTTATATAACATCGCCGACGAATGCGGAGCAAGCAAATACTTGGATTTACACTCGCGATAACAAAGCAAAATCTATAAAAAAAAAAAAGAAGACAACTAATAATCAACCACAAGTTCAAATCGTGTATATTTATATTCGTGTGTACGCGCTCGTTATTATCATCATCTGCCTATATCGTAAAATAACATTATCCAACCTCGCGGCCCCAACGGCAGCGGCTGAAATAATGGCTTTACCTCGCCAGTAAAATAATACTTTCCCCATATTTCTGCCATTTTACTAACTCTAAATCTATTTCAGAATTTTGCATGGTCGTGCAATTACGCGATGATTTATCGGCAAGGCGAATAGAAAAGGAGATTTCTCGTACTCGTTAATCAGCGTGGCCGTAAGTAAGTGTAACGCACTAGGGAAATTCAATTACCTGCGTTCGTTAAAACAAATTTACTTTGTACTACCGCGATTGCGGATTTTTTAATTTGTTCCCTTCAATACGTAGATACAAATGTATAAATACGCCTTCTCTCGGCTCGCTCGCTCGCCCGACCGTGCGCGCGCGCGCGCGCCCGCGCTCGCGTATATATTCGCCTCAGTCTCGTACTGTGTGTATGTACGCGTACATGCTTTTTTATGCCCTTTCAATCTACGTTTATTCATTCTTTTATGGATACCAACCGGGCTCGCCTTTCATTTTGTTTCAACGGAGGAGGAGAAAGAACCGAATGAAAAGTTGAAACGGGCGGAGGAAAAGAGTAGAAATAAACGAGCGCAGGAGAGAGGCGCGGAGGAAGGTACGTACGGAGAAAGGGGGAAGCACAGGCGGGGATCGGGGGGCGGGGGACGAAAAAGGAGGCAAGGAGAAAGGGGCGAGAGCGGGTGGCAGGGAGCAGGGGAGGAAAGGCTCGGTCGAACGAGAAAGAGAGAGAGCGAGAGAGAGAAAGAGTGAGTGAGTGAGTGAGTGAATGAGAGAGAGAGAGAGAGAGAGAGAGAAGAGAGAGAGAGAGAGAAAGAGAGAGAGAGCAAAGCATCCATCGCATTAATATTCGCCATATTATTACATTGTATAGCGGGGTATCCGACGAATGGATACGCACGATCGGAAACATTGATCGCGCGATGCCAGACACGACGGTATTCTATGGAAGAGATTTAATTTAGACGAACGTTTCAAATCAGATTGAATCGGGGAATATGGACGTTGTATGTGGTAGTGGTGGCAGTGAGCGATGGGCGATGGTAGTAGTGGGTAACGATAGGAACGGGAGAGACTCGGCGGGGGGGAGGGGGGTTGGGAAGGAAAGGAAGGAGGGAACCCCTCGTGCTGCGGGGATGAATGAGGGCAGAAACACGAATCGGGGAATGCCGCTGACTATCGAATACCAAGGAATCAGTGAGAATTAACAATTTTTCAATCGTCGCTTATAACTATCGCGCGATTATTCATCAGAATTAATTAGAGACCATATCAGCGCTCATAAATAGTTGCCTTCCTCCACTTTTTGTGTTTCTCAAATATATGATGATGAAAATTCTTAGAAGAGCCCCGTTTCCCCTTAAAAGGTATCGATCGTACAAAGATACAAGCGATATTTTTATTTTAATATCCTGAAATATAATTAATTAGAATAAAGTTCTAAAAGGTAAATAAATTGGGGTAATTCAACGCGAAATTTTTTGCAGGAAAATAACGTGCTTATTTATAAATGCAACAATTAACAATTTTCAAATAGGAAAGTTTAATCTTAAGCACGAATAATGTAAAGGATAACTGTGAAAAATACGAAATTTAATATCTAGCCGTAGCTAATACTTACCGTTTTGCAGCTGTAACCAGACCGCAGCATCCAACACGTCAGGAAAATCGGGATTCGCCGCTGTCTAATCTCTGTAGTCGGAAACCGCAGCATGTATCCTTGATCCTCGATTCGAGTCTACATTCAAGTTCCCTCACATTTCACACGCAAGCACACACGCACGCGCACACATGCGACTGATGCGATAGCGATTACAAAAACATGACCACAGTTTCGACGTGAATTCTTCGCACGATCGTTCCCGCGATCTTTCCAAATGCAAACTTTCATTCGCGGGAATACGATGTGTCGATATTTCGCGACAATTCTCTCTCTGTGTAATTCGGGATTTCGGAAATTCTTATCGCGATTGCTTTCACGATGTAGGATTTCTCCTAAATACCGTACACGTTCGCCACCGTAAACTTAGTAAAATACAAAAAAATAACATGAAATATATCGACAACAATTCGCGATTTGGCTCGCGCGATGAAACGTATAACTCAACTGAATATGGCAGCGATCTAGCGCGCAAGAAGAACGACAACCGACGGAAACGATCGACCGCGCCCGAGGAAGCTTTTCGTGTATTTCGACGAATTTTGGTCGTCGCGATGTTTTGGATGCTTCTCTTTCAACGAAATCTCACACAATCGCGTACGCATTTCGATTATTCTCGAATATTCGCGTAATCTTAAGCACGTATACTCAGAATGTTATGCATTCCGCTTACCGTTGCGTCAAATCGTCAAAATGTGGATAAAACACGACAATTGGCAGATTCGCGAACTCTATTATAGCAGCTGGCCCTGCGAGGAGTCAAACGACCGAGATTGCCGGAAAATATCGTAGTTGACAAAAATGGTAATATATTTTAATTCATATATCTATGCCTTCGACTCTCACATTTTAACGCATTCGATCGAATATTTCCGCCAATTCGTGTTAATTTGTCAAAACAAAAAGAACAATGTTACGATCAACAATATGCGAAAAACAAATTCCAAGATTTCACAACAAACAGCGAAAAGGATTAGAATCAACCGAGAAAAATTATTCCGGAAACTGCTTACAGAATTTGGGTAAATAGAAAGTCGCGTACGGAAGTGAAACATCGCGAAAACGAGCGTATGAAAATTTAGCGTGCTGAAAATGCGATTATGTTTTTACTATCATCGTCTCGTCGGTTTCGCATGAGTGTGTAAGATATAAAAAAATTTGGAACAATAGTTCAAAGATACATATCGCCCATTACCAACCGTCCAAGTGAAAAAACAGCGAATCCCGATCTTTCTTACACGCGTTGGATGCTGCAGTACACGTTTTATTACAACTTATTAAACGAAACGATAAATGTTAGTTGTATCATAATAAAATGTATGCGACTTAACTTGATTTTTATCACACGCCAGTCTTGGATTGAAATATCATTGTCAAAAATAAATTTTTTCTCTAAATTGTATTGACGTAGTTGCGATTTTGCAATTCCATAATTCATATTTATCTCGCAATCACACGATAATCCGGCGATGAATGACGTCGTATTCGACGAATATAACGATACGATCAGATCGACACAATAGAATTTGAAAAACTGCCAATATTTCTGATATAAATGAATTGAGATGCACTATTTTTTGCACCATTGTTAATTAAAACAGTTATCATTTTTCATCACACTCAATAATTTATACCGATATATCAATATCATCTATATGCGCCGAGAACTCTTAATTAAACACAATAAAACTTTACCACATTTTCACCAGTTATATACTTTGAGTGATTAATGATCATGTAGCTCTTCGTAACTTAGTAAACACACACATAACAATGCATTTGCATAAACTATTTTTCACCGCGACCCATGGCTACGCCGGAGATATCGCGTTAGATTGTCGCAACATCGAGGATGACATCATCCGCAGCTGTTCCGAACGTTGTAGAGGCTAACACGACCAAACGCAAAACCCAATGCGATGTAAGTGCTTAAAAGCAAGTTATCGCCATTTAACAGTATTAAAGATTACCAACTGCAAGACTAGAATTTTTAAACGCTAGGAATTAAGGCTAAGATGTGCATAACTAATCATGGGTACTTTGTCTAGTAAAATCGCAAGAATGTTACATGCTTAAAGAAATCTCTTACAAGACAATAATGAAAATCAATTACATATTAACAAAATAATCGTAACGGTGGAATATCCATAATCCAACTCTCGCGAATCGGTAATCTTAACGACGATAATTTCAATTAAACTCGATGACTTTCTTGTATAAATTAAATAGCATGTGCTGATTTTCGTAATCTTAGTTTCTTCAGACGAACAACTAAATTTGCTCTTTTTGGATTAGTGATATTCTCCGCGTTTATCGTTGAATAAGTTTTAAAATCGGCCATGTTTAGGCGGTGTTTGACTCACCTTGTAGGAGTACTGGTCGAACATCCTGCAGGCTTCGAGATCGCTACTGAGAACGGAATAACCGGCGTCCATACTGACCCGACGCTTCTTCTCGCCGCCTGGAACGAGCCCTCGTGAATGAAAAGCTATCTATCACGCACAAGCACAGTTTGAGAACTAGTACCGAACAAACTGATCGCGATTGCACCGACTATACCGTCGCTCATCGTACGCGACTCGTCGTACGCACCGACGCGACGTCGTCAGCCTCGTTCGCCGTATCACACTCGATCGGATTTTCGGCCCGCTCTTGGGCCCGCGTATTCCTTCAACTGCGATAACTCACGACAACTCGCGCGGATATCCTGCCGACCTCGCGATCAAGACGGGAAATGCGCGACTCAAACACTGTGAATGCTAGGCGATTCCGGCGCTTCCAACTATCGAAATATTTTGCCTTAGCCGCGTAATTCACGCGAATTGTCATCCACAAACTTCACGTTTCGAATTCAAGTATTGCCAATCTTGTCGAGAAAAAAAATGACAGAGGTATCGATCGAGTTGCGCGTCGATCAAAAGCACGATGGCTGAATTCACTATGGACCACTGTTAAACGCGCGATTTAATTCAATGTACACGGCTGACAAATTAATACCGACAATGTAGCACGTGGACGACGACGACGACGACGATGGTCATCACTGATCGAGGTCGGCAGGTGCCACGCGAGACATCGAATGCGACTCTCGCGGTTTGTACGAGGGAGGGCGACCGCCGGCGAACCGCGCGCGCGAGAACGGCAGTAGTAGCGGTAACGGCGGCTGAACGTCGGTGGTTAACGTGGTGCGGCTATACTCGTGGGCGGGGGAGGGAGGCCAGGAAACTCTCCTCTTCGCTGCGCGAGCGCGAACGCGAACACGGATCTTAAAGGTTAGATCGCGCAACCCTTCGAAACGCACGGATTACGGATATTGTAAACGGGCGCGTTAAACGTTAGGTTATGTTAGGTCGCGTGCAACATCGCGACGTCGCGCGCTACGCGTGCTACCGCGATAGTGCCGTGGGTGCAGCGCGAGGTGGGCCACCCCACCATGAGACTCGGCGTTGCTCTACCTGTCCTGTCCGACGCTTCTCTCGCTCTCTCGCTCTTTCGCTCACTCGACCGTTCGATGCACACAACCGTCCGTCCGTCTCGCTCACTCGCGACCGTCCGTTTCTCCCGCTCACGCGGGATTCGCGGAGCGCGGACCGACTTCTTCCCTCCTTCTCGGTGCGCGACTCCGACGGGAATGCGTACGGGCCCGCGTCGCTCCGCGAAAACCCTAGAGTCATGGATGCCACCTTTGTACTCTTTACAGCTTTGCTGTCTTTCCGAGCGTACCGCATGAAGCGTGCCGTGATGAACGATTGATATTATCTGGGGCAGAAAGTCTAGTCGAAATTTATCGATTTGTCTTAACCACAAATTTTGCCACAAAGGTTATGACATTGTGTAAAAAAAAAAAAAGGCACAGATAATCGTAATCACTCGCCTCTCTTCTTTTTTAATAAAGCGGATCGCGTGATCGCATTCAAAAACATAATATGATTCGAACTATTCTTATTTCACAGGGTTTCATTTCCGGTGGCCAAGTAGCTGAATAACGGAGACAAGAATCACAGCGTGAGTTTTACGCCCACCGCTTTCGGCTCCTGCCGCGTGCCGGTCGACCACCTAGCAGCGGGGGATAATGGGAATGGGACGGACACGGAAGCGGTAGAACCCACGAGAGCACGACCGTCACGTAATACGTGAAGCACAGTCAACATAGAGCATTACGAAATTTGTTACATCTGTGTAAACACAATCGGTTTTAATTACTTCAATTAAGAAGCTATTTTTTACAACATTGAGAAACCAAAGAGGATTTCGCTACACAACTACGAGCCATACGTCAAAAATAATTGCTGCATCGTTCTGTTATTTTTATCGAGACAAGTGTCAACTTGGACATTAACAGAGTTCGTTATCTTTTTAAACCAACTAACTTGACTTAACTTTAATGAATTAACATATGTACGCAATGTACATACGATATCGCGAGCATTCTGTCGCAGCGCATTTAATTTTTTCTTAAAATCGAACATGAAAATTAGCAGTACTAAGTAAACATATATTTCTTACTTTTTTATATTTTACATGGCTCTATAGAAACGATTGTGGCGTTGGTCACTTGCCACTTGACAGTTTTCCGCGTCTGGAACACGCAGTTGCGGGCAAGTTAATCGACTAACTGTGACGGTGAAGAGCCGCGAAGCGTGATATATCACGAAGTAGAATCCGATCGTTGGCATCGCGTACACATAGGGTCAGTGACGGCTAGCAGTCACGTGGTTCGCACGTGGGTTTCATTCATGAAACGTGCTCGTAGGTCGTAGCCGCAGCAACGCCGGCAGCCACCAGCAGCGGTGGCTGGCTGTCGCCGTTGTGGTAGTAAGAATGCTGGTGGTAGTAACACGCGTAGCGACAACGAGGATACAGTGGTAGTGGTGGTATTAGTAGTAGTAAACGGCGGTAGGTAACAGGCAGACCAGGCAGACAGGCTAGCAGCCAGGATGGTGGTTAGCCCGAACTGGCTGGCTGGCAAGTGGAAGCAGTGCGGCGGATGAACGTAGAGTGGAGTTTGTAGTGGCGCGCGGTGTGTTGGTTTACGCGCGCTGGATTTTCGCCCCGAGCGAGCCATCGAGCCAGCCAAGCCAACCAGCCAGCCAGCCAGCCAGCCAGCCAGGCAGAACGGAGGGAACGAGGGAAAACGAGGAAGAGGAATCACGCGACCGTGGGGTCAGACGTGATATCTCTTTCTCCTTCCCAACCCGCTCTCTTCTTCTCGGCTATCCAGCTTGAAGCCTCCTTAAAGTCTCCCTATGCCACGTATCTGTTATCCAGCCCATCCAAAGATTACAACCTTAAAACCATCCTTATCCCTCACCTGGTTTTCTCGCGATCCGCCCGCCCGCTCGCCTCGCTCTTTCACTTTCATCCTTCCCCTTTCCGTTGCTCGTGATGCTCGTCCACTTACGTGCTCGCGGTACGAACCTCGCACGCGTCCGACGAGCGCAAACATTCTCTAACGAGCGATTTTACTGGAGCGACGGTTGTGCTCTAATTTTCTTCGACCTTGCTACTTACGAATCTTTCGTGAACACATCATTTCCAATGTGTTAATTAGTTCGTATCATTAACAATGAATGTAATATCAATTGATTTATTGAAAAATCTTATGGAACACATTATCGCGACTTTCAAAAATGACTAGCCTTGCGGACTAGAATTGATTGTCGGCAAATAGCAGCGTTACTGATGTATATATTTCAAAAATGTCAAACTACTTATATTTTAACGTATAATTGCGATCGCTGACTTGTAAATTAACGATTATACTGCTTCGACATAACAGTACGATATCGTCAATCTCATTTCTTTTTCTCATCACTTTGTTACCGGCATTATGTTTGCGGCCAAAGACCAACGAATATCAATTGTAATCTTCCAATTATCGTGAATGTCAGCATTTCTCCCCGTCTCATCTTCAATTATAATTTTACAACCAAGTTCGCCGGCATTTTGGCATTATTAATGAAACGACGTTTTTCGGAGTGTACTTCTTGGAAAAAGAGGCTCGGTCAGCGCACGATGCAGCGCTTACAACGCATCGCGACATGCATACGTTCTTAAAAACAACATACGTACGTTTTCAGACTTCCGAGTCTCGTTGAACGCGCGCATATCCCGCGGGAATCAATATCCGCGCGTCTCCCAGTCTCTCCCCTACACCCCCCGTCTTCCCCCCGGCCCCTCATCGACCATCTCTCGCTCCCCCTCTTTCTCCGCCAGTACACGGATCTGCCCCCTCACCTATACCTCCTCGCGGGTGCTGCACCTTCTTCGGCACCGTGCACCGTGTACCACCCCATGCGCCGGGGGTGAAGCGGCGGGGAGGAGCGGAATGGAGCGGTGCGGCCGTCCGCCTCTGATGAATGTGATTTAGGGAAGGGGGAGAGCGGAATACGGCCGCCTGCCTTCCTCCTTTGGTGCCTCCACAGCCCCTTTCTACCACCCACCCTCGCTCTCCCCCCGCGCCAGACTCCCTTCTGCCCTCCCCCCTCGCCCCTGTCCCACCACCGCCACCTTCTCTCCTCTATCAACTTCCACCACGTCAACCTACCCACCCTACCCTCCCCCCTTCTTCGTCTCCTACCCCGGCAGCTACATCTCACCCAAGTCGACACACAACTACAAAACATTCAATTTGAACGTAAAGTTAAAACGAAATGGATTTTCCAGCGCGGGTACAGTCGCCGTCAAAAGCTGCGCGCTCGGTCTCTCCCGATGACTCGACGCGTAGATTTCGCGATATCAGATCGGAGAAGACGCGGAGATAACTGCGAGAGAGAATTCGCATCTCGGTGTATGTCACTTCGGTGCGTTTTGCAATCGAAATGTTCTCGTATTCATTCTTGCTGGCGAGTATCCCGAGTAATCGATATCCGGATAATAAGAATCTGGATTATACGCGACACAAATTGTATTAGTATTTTGCTTTTAGAGTAAAGCCACGATACTCTTGGCAATTCTTGTTTTCCTCCGTTTCTTCCTTTTTCTTCGTTTGATAAATTACAACGATTATCGATCGCCCAATATTACCTAATTTTATCGCGGTCCTCTGGTTTATCGTCCTGAGGCACGAACTACCAGTTACGATAAGGATTGGAATTTAATAAGCTTCCTCGTTGAAACGTTCCAAGCTGATCAATTCTTAATACTCCTTTCGAGGAAGGTAGCGACAAGGATCGTTTGAAGTTGCTTAGCTACTCGAATCAAGATATAGCTATTTTGAATATTATTCGTCATGTATTCTTGTCATCTGTGCTTTTAATTACGAAACGAAAGCAACGAGATATCGATCGGATTGTACACCCAAGAGAGGCCCTCGTGAAAAAATGGCTGAACGTCGATCGAGGTTGCATAATCGCAGACGTACGAATAACGAAGCGCCAGCAAAGTTTCCTCTAATAACAAAAGTAACTTTCGAGTCGAATCAAAATAAAAGCGGATTCGCGGAAGGATCTGCACTCTAGTGAATCGCAAGTGAGATATGAATTATGCATTCGACCAACGGAGGTCCCCCTTCTTGCTTTTCGACTTACCCGTGGAATCGTGCGCGAGTCCAAAAAGACCGATGGAAAAGTACAAAACACACGAAGACGAGGAATGTACTTCTTCTCTCACTGTTATCTCTTTCTTCATCAAATTTATCAAAGAGTACAACCCTTGGCGAAAAAAGGAACTATGCGAAACATATATTTCTCTTTCTTTAATTCATGGATTTCACAAAAATCAGCATTTCCTGTCTTTAAGAAATGTACCAAAACTTTTCCACTGCGAATACACACCGTTGATGTGAAAGCGGACGAAAGATAATGTAACGATATGCTTGATCAGCAGCAAGGTATCCGGGAAGTCCAGGAAATAGCTTCGAGTTTGACCGTCCCGAGGGACTTTCCGCCGAGTCCTCGCCGAGAGGATGAATCAACCCCGTCTATTTGGCCTAGAAGACCATGGTCACCCTCAACTTCACCCTCGTTCTCACCCCTCATTCTCAACCCTCGCGCTTTCTCGCTTCTCCTCTTCCGCTCGTCCGCTCTTTCTTGCACGACCGAGTTCCTGCGGCGGAAAACTGGCTTCGCTCCACTGTCCTTACGTAGCTGGTGGTCTCGTTGATGTGGGTCGGGTGAAGAATCAGGGTCAAGTTCACGGTCGTGCTAAAGAGAGCATGTTACGACCAACACGCCACCTTACGTTTCGCTGTTCGTTTTGTACCTTTTACAAAAATATTTGGCAACATTCGATGGGCCATGAATTTCTAAAGAACTTTACACTGTAACGAGACTAACGTGTATATAAACAGTATATGAAGAGCAGCAGCACACGATGATCCCCTCACGAGCGGTGGTCAATGAACTCTATTGGTATCGTCAAACGAGGCGTCTCGTCCAATTAACCGTTTTTAATC